ATGTATTTTTTTGAAACGGAGTTTCACTCTTGTTGCCCAGGCTGGAATGCAATGGTGTAATCTCCGCTCACTGCAGCCTCCACTTCCAGGGTTCAAGCAATTCTCCTGCCTCAGCCTCCCAAGTAGCTGGGATTACAGGCATGCACCACCATGCCAAGTTAATTTTGTATTATTATTTTTTTTTTAGTACAGATGGGGTTTCTCCATGTTGGTCAGACTGGTCTCGAACCCCCAACCTCACGGGATTCACCTGCCTTGGCCTCCCAAAGTGCTAGGATTACAAGTGTGAGCCACTGTGTCCAGCCTCTTGATATTTTTAACTAAAAAAAAAAAAAAAAAAATAGGAGGTCAGGGAACCCAAGATGGAAAGCAGATTGTGACAGAAGAATTTAATGATACTACAAATGTATGAAATAACTTTTCTGAAGGGAGCTGGGGGTAAAGGTGCTGACCTGAGTAATTTTGGAAATGAGTAGAGTCTGTAAGATCAAAGGCTAATGGAACTACACATAAGCACTGTACCCTAGTTTATAAGATTGTTTCCCACAGGGGTATGTGTTAACAATTCTCTTTTGAGACATTATGATTACAAATAAAGAAAATTTTTATTTTATTTTATTGAAACGGAATCCTGCTCTGTAACCCAGGCTGAAGTGCAGTGATGCAATCTTGACTCACCGCAACCTCTGCCTCCCAGGTTCAAGTAATTATCGTGCCTCAGCCTCCCAAGTAGCTGGGACTACAGGTGTGCACCACCACGCCTGGCTAATTTCTGTATTTTTAGTAGAGATGCAGTTTTGCCATGCTGGCCAGAATGGTCTTGAACTCCTGACCTCAGGTGATCCACCTGCCTCAGCCTCCCAAAGTGCTGGGATTACAGGCATGAGCTACTGTGCCTGGCCACAAATAAAGAAAAATTTTAGGCCAAGTGCAGTGGCTCACCCCTGTAATCCTAGCACTTTGGGAGGCTGAGGCAGGTGGATCACCTGAGGTCGAGAGTTCGCAAACTAGCCTGACCAACATGGAGAAACCCCGTCTCTACTAAAAATACAAAATTAGCCAAGTGTGGTGCCTGTAATCTCAGCTACTTGGGAGGCTGAGGCAGGAAAATCGCTTGAACCCAGGAGGCAGAGGTTACAGTAAGCCAAGATCACACCCTTGCACTCCAGCCTGGGTAACAACAGCCAAACTCTATCTCAAAAAAAAAAGAAAAAGAAAGAAAGAAGAAAAATTTTAGGCTGGGTGCGGTGGTTCATGCCTATAATCCCAGCACTTTGGGAGGCCAAGGCAGGAGGATCACCTGAGGTCAGGAGTTCAAGACCAGCCTGGCTAACATGGTGAAACCCCATTTCTACTAAAAATACAAAAACAAATTAGCCAGGTGTGGTGGCTTGTGCCTGTAATCCCAGGTACTCAGTAGGCTGAGGCAGGAGAATTGCTTGAACCTGAGAAGCGGAGGTTGCAGTGAGCCGAGATCACAAATTGCACTCTAGCACGGGTAACAAGAGCAAAACTCCGTCTCAAATAATAATAATAATAATAAAGAAAGAATTTAAAAAGAAAAACAAAACAATTCTGATACTCCTATACACGTGTCCTGGAATATACAATTAAGTAAATAGATGGCAAATTATGGAAGCCAGGTTTCTCACAGTTGGGGTGGAGTTTAGATAAACAGGAGGCGGCCAGAATGATCCATGTGGTAATGGATTAAAGTTGGAGACATCACGCCGGGTGCAGTAGCTCACGCCTGTAATCCCAGCACTTTGGGAGCCGAGGTGGGCGGATCACCTGGAGTTCAAAGCCAGCCTGACCAACATGGAAAAACCCCGTCTGTACTAAAAATACAAAATTAGCCAGGTGTGGTGGTGCATGCCTGTAATCCCAGCTACTTAGGAGGCTGAGGCAGAAGAATCACTTGAACCCAGAAGGCGGAGGTTGCAGTGAGCTGAGATCGTGCCATTGCACTCCAGCCTGGGCAACAAAAGCAAAACTCCGTCTCAAAAAAAAACCAAAAAAAAAAAGTTGGAGACATCAGTATGAATTCATGCTTAGCTTAATATAGATATGGATGGTTATATATGGAAATACATGTTTGCGTATATACATGGGTTACTATACACACATATATTTCCTTGCTTTCTCAGATGTGAGGGTCCAGAAGCAATGACACCTCAAAAGCAACAAGCACACCTAGTGCCCAGACCTTGGATTCTAAAGCTATTTGCCAGCGAAAGAGAATAGGGGTCCTTGGAGAAATGGCTGATTGCAGAACTGTGGCAGGAGATATACAAAATGAGCCTGGAGCATTTTACAGTACCAGAAAGTAAGGTGATACTAAATAAACAAAAACAAGGTTTTAATTAAAACAACAACAACAACAACACTGATGGGACTCTTATTTTTCTCCCTGACTGAGGATTGACCGCCATCTTGAATGACTTAGTAACTGTCTGAACTAGGAAGTTCAGGATCACTTCTATACACTTCAGAAGGAACAAATGGTTATTGATGTCCTTCACCCTGGGAAGGCAACAGTATCTAAGACAGAAATTCAGGGAAAACTAGACAAAATGTATGAGACTACACTAGATGCCATCATCTTTGTTTTTGTTTGTCTTTATGAGATGGAGTCTCCCTCTGTCACCCAGGCTGGAGTGCAGTGGCGCAATCTCAGCTCACTGCAACCTCTGCCTCCCAGGTTCAAGACGGGAGGCAGACGTTGCAGGGAGCCGAGATGGTGCCATTGCACTCCAGTCTGGGCAACAGATTAAGACTCCATCTCAAAAATAAAATAACCTCCAAATAATGTATTTACATACTCCCCTTTCAAGGAGGGAGAGGCATAACTTCCTACTTCTTTGATGTGAACTGTGCTTAGTGATTTCCTTCCAAAATGTACAATATGGAAAGGGGAAAAAAATAAAAATGTTATATCGGGAGGCTGAGGCAGAGAATTGCTTGAACCTGGGCGGTGGAGTTTGCAGTGAGCTGACATCACACCACTGCACTCCAGCCTGGGCGACAGAGTGAAACTCCATGTTTTTTTTTTTTTTGTTTTTTGAGACGGAGTCTCGCTCTGTTGCCCAGGCTGGAGTGCAGTGGCGCCATCTCGGCTCACTGCAAAATTCCCCCTCCCGGGTTCACGCCATTCTCCTGGCTCAGCCTCCTGAGTAGCTGGGACTACAGGCACCCGCCACCGTGCCCCGCTAATTTTTTGTATTTTTAGTAGAGACGGGGTTTCACCGTGGTCTCGATCTCCTGATCTTGTGATCCACCCGCCTTGGCCTCCCAAAGTGCTGGGATTACAGGCGTGAGCCACCGCGCCCGGCCGTGAAACTCCATTTTTTTAAAAAAAAGAATAATGTTATCATGGGAAAAACTGACAAATGCCACCTCAGCCGGGTGATCAAGGTCAATATCAACAGTAATGAGTCATGTTGATAGTATGTATCAAGTACCACCCTTGATAGGATGTGATGAAAATAGCAGTTTACCTCGGTGGTCTTCCTGCCAAAAGCCCGGTGCAATCCTAAGAAAAGCCCTCAGCAGAGGAACATTCTACTAAATACCTGAACAGTACTCCTCAAAACTGTTAAGGTCATCAAAAACAAGAACATTCTGAGAAACTGTCACAGCCAAGAGGAGGCAGTGGGCTGGGCACAGTGGCTCACGCCTGTAATCCTAGCACTTTGGGAAGCTGCGGCAGGCAGATCACCTGAGGTCAGGAGTTTGAGATCAGCCTGGCCAACGTGGTGAAACCCCAACTCTACTAAAAATACAAAAATTAGCTGGGTGTGGTGGCGGGCACCTGTAATCCTAGCTACTTGGGAGGCTGAGGCTGGAGAATCGCTTGAACCCAGGAGATAGAGGTTGCAGTGAGCGGAGATTGAACCATTGCACTCCAGCCTGGACAAGATTGAAAAAAAAAACAGGAGCTACAGACATGACAATTCAATGCAACTTGGTATCCTGGATGGGATCCTGGAACAGAAAACGGACTTTGAGCAAAAACCAATGAAATCTGAATAAAGCATCCACTGTATCTCTCTCTCTCTCTCTGTCTCTTTTTTTTTTTTTTTTTAGACAGAGTCTCACTCTGTCACCAGGTTGGAGTGCAGTGGTACGATCTCAGCTCACTGCGACCTCTGCCTCCTGGGTTCAAGAGATTCTCCTGTCTCAGCCTCCTAAGTAGCTGGGAATACAAGCATGAGCCACCATGCCCAGCTAATTTTTGTATTTTTCGTAGAGATGGGGTTTCACCATGTTGGCCAGGATAGTCTTGATCTCTTGACCTCATAATCCGCCCGCCTCAGCCTCCCAAAGTGCTGAGATTACATGCGTGAGCCACTGCGCCCAGCTTGTATCTTTTTTTAAATCTTCTTTTTTAGAAACAGGATTTCACCATTTTGCCCAAGTGGGTCGCGAACTCCTGGCCTCAACCACTCGAAGTGCTGGAATTACAGGTGAGCCACCGTACCCAACATAAACTCAAGATTTAAAACAATGATGAAATCTCGGCCGCGCGCGGTGGCTCACGCCAGTAATCCCAACGCTTTGGGAGGCCGAGGCGGGTGGATCACGAGGTCAGGAGATCGAGACTCATCCTGGTCTAACACGTGGTCTCTACTAAAAATACAAAAAAATTAGCCGGGCGTGGTGGCAGGCGCCTGTAGTCCCAGCTACTAGGGAGTCTGAGCCAGGAGAATGGCGTGAACCTGGGAGGCGGAGCTTGCAGCGAGCTGAGATCGCGCCACTGAACTCTAGCCTGGGCGACAAAGCCAGACTCCGTTTCAAAGAAAAAGAAAAGAAAAGAAAAAGCCTAAAGATTTAACCAAGTTCTTTCCTCCATCCTTCAGGCCTCCCACCCTCGGCGCCCGCGCCGCGGGCACATCCAGCCCCTCCCTGGAGCTAGAACCTGCTGCACCACCCGGTGCAGCCTCAGGAGACTGGCTCCGCAGCACAGGTGTGTCCCTCTCCTTGCTCAGGCCGGTCCGCGGCTTCCGGGCTCTCCGGGCGCCGGCACCAAGCATGGCGTGAACCTGAACTTAGGTGACCCCACGCGGTCACAACCGGGGTAGGAAGTTAAAGAAGGGAGCCGTCCGCCCACCCGAGGGGCGGTCCCAGCACCCCAGTAGGGAACTGCTGTGCTCGGCCTCTGTGTTCGATCGGGATCCCAGGTCTCTTTCCTGCCAATGACAAAACCTCCGCGTCCCAGGCCTCCTTTCCGGAGCCGGAGTCGGCGGCCAAGCGCTGGTGGCGGGGCCGGGAGAGTTAATTCCAACTGCCTCAGGCTGATTCCGGGGACCGGAGCTCCGAGAGCTCCTCCCATTGGCCGCGGAGCCGGCTCGGCGCTGATTGGCTGAGGGCCTCGGCTGCGGCTCTCGAAGGCTCCCCATTGGCCCAGCGCTCCAGTGGCAGGAGTGTGGCGGCCCGGCCTCCGCAGGGTACCCGGGGTTGAAGCTGCTGCGAGCTCCGGTGGCTGCCTGGGTCCTGACTTCTTTCTCGGATCCAGATCTCGTTGCTGGCTCGAGGAAATCACCGGCTTTTCTCCCAGATCCTTTTCTTCTCTAACCTGCTGGCTTTCTTTTTCCTGCCTGCCTGGCTTCCATCTCCCAACTCCGCGGTTCCCTCCTCTACTCCCCTGCCCCCGTCGCCCGCCATCCTGAGCCATCCCACCTGTCACCTTCTGTCTTTTGCCCCTCCTTGACCTCAGAGGGTTCTGCCATAAGCTTCTCACCAGAATCTCCTGGATTTCTGTCTCTTCCCTGCTTGCCAGCTCCTGACTCCCAATTTCCAGCTGACTACTTCCATTTGACCACTTGACATTTGACCCTGACACCCTTGACTGCAAACCTAAATTCTTACCTTCTGCAGCCTGTACTGCTGAAACAGGCCTTCCCCTGTCTTCCAACCCCGCTTTCTGACACCCATTTTTACCCTGTTACTCTTGGGCCAGTCCCTGCTACAGTTACCCACCATGGACTTCTTGATGAGTGGCCTGGCAGCCTGCGGGGCCTGTGTGTTCACCAATCCCCTGGAGGTGGTGAAGACCAGGATGCAGTTGCAGGGAGAACTGCAGGCCCCTGGCACATACCAGCGGCACTACCGAAATGTCTTCCATGCATTCATCACCATCGGCAAGGTGGATGGCCTGGCTGCCCTGCAGAAAGGCCTGGCCCCCGCCCTCTTATACCAGTTCCTGATGAATGGCATCCGACTGGGCACCTATGGACTGGCTGAGGCTGGGGGCTACCTGCACACAGCCGAAGGCACCTATAGTCCTGCCCGCAGCGCAGCGGCTGGGGCCATGGCTGGGGTCATGGGAGCCTACTTGGGGAGCCCCATCTACATGGTAAGAAGAGGATTCTTGCCTGGGACCTTCAGGGCAGATCCTTGTTGTAGAATTGGAGCCTGGTCTTTCCCAAGGGCATAGGTGGCAGGGTGCTACCCCACTGCAAGCAGGAAAGGGCATCAGGAAAGATCTGGTAGGCTTTGGAGTCTTCTGACCTGCCCTATACACACCCATCTGATGGACACGATTGAATGTATTGATTAAGATTATCGACTTTGGAGCCGATCACCGTGGCTCACGCCTGTAATCCCAGCACTTTGGGAAGCCAAGGCGGGCGGATCACAAGGTCAGAAGATCCAGACCGTCCTGGCTAACACGGTGAAACCCCGTCTCCACTAAAAAATACAAAAAAAATAGCCGGACGTGGTGGCAGGCCCCTGTAGTCCCAGCTACTCAGGAGGTTGAGGCAGGAGAATTGTGTGAACCCGGGAGGCAGAGCTTGCAGTGAGCCGAGATCACGCCACTACACTCTAGCCTGGACGACAGAGCAAGACTCTGTCTCAAAGGAGAAAAAAAAAGAGAGATTATGGGCTTTGGAATCAGTCTTTCTGGAACTAAAGTCCTGGCTTTGAAAATTACTAGTTGGTGAGCTTCAGTTGCCACATCTGTAAAATGGTAATAATTGTAGTAGCCTTTCTGTGTGATTATTGGGAGGATGGAGAGAGACAAATGCGGTAGACATGGAAGCATTAGTGTGAATCCTGGCAGAGAGTAAGCATTTGGTAGCATTGTTTTTATTATTATGTGTAGATATTGAGGTTGGACTTGTGAAGGGGAGGATAAGGAATTTAACATACGTCAGAGAGTGTAGGGATCAGGAAGATCCTGGGCATTACAGAATTAACAATCTCAACGTCTGCCCCTTTGAGTTATCTGGTATAGGTGAAGGGTCAAGAGCCTGAGGCCCAGAAAGGGGAAGTGATCCACTCAAGGTCACACAGCTGTTTATTGCTAGGACTAGGCCCTGCTCAGTGCTCCTAAGAGCAAAAGAGACTGGGAAGTAGTACGTCCTGTAGCAGAGGCAGTCTGGTCCCGTTCTCAGGGTTTGAGTTTCAGGGACAGTGGTCTCTCCAAAATCGACTAGATACTTTTATGGGGAGTGGGGGCTAGAGAGCAAGTTTTGCCCAGAGTCTGATGGGGAGCCTGATAGAAGTGGTGGCTGGAGATCCAGTCTGGGAATGGGAGCTGGCATGACAGGCTGGACACCCAGGTCTTGCCTAACATGCCTTAGGAAATCTTGCCATTCTCCAACCACTCCACCCCCAACTGCTAGCCCCAAGGGAAGAAGGATATAAAGGGGGGGGTGTGGTGTCTTACAGTGCTGGGAGATGCATCCCCCCGCAGCTGGAGCCTAGAGACAGAGTCTTTTTGTTAACCAATTTGTTAAGTAGGAACAACAATAATTATGAGAATAAGAGGATATTCATTGCTGAACACCCTAGAGGAAATGTGAGGCGGTCAGACATTTGGTTCTGAGGTAGGAGGACGGCCACTGGGGCATAGGCTATGATATTCTCTTGTTCGCAGGTGAAGACACACCTGCAGGCACAGGCAGCCTCAGAAATTGCTGTAGGGCACCAGTATAAGCATCAGGTGAGAGTTCCCAAGTCTGCCAAAGTCCCTGATCATCCTTTCTCTTTTCCCCTAGCTTTCTGCCTGTACCCACCCAACAGCTCCAATCCCAGCCGCTGCTCTGCTCAACCCATTGGTTCTGTCACATTTTGCCCCTGGAGCCTACCCAGACCCTCTTTCCCTTTTTTTTTTTTTTTTTTTTTTTTCAGACGGAGGCTCACTCTGTTGCCCAGGCTGAAGTGCAGTGGCACGATCTCAGCTCCCTGCAACCTCTGCCTCCTGGGTTCAAGCGATTCTCCTGCCTCAGCCTCCCAAGTAGCTGGGACTACAGGTGTGCACCACCACACCCAGCTAAATTTTGTTTTGTTTTGTTTTGTTGAGACAGAGTCTCGCTCTGTTGCCCAGGCTGGAGTGCAGTGGCACAGTCTCCACTCACTGCAACCTCGGCCTGCCAGGTTCAAGTGATTCTCCTGCTGCAGCCTGTTGAGTAGCTGGGATTACAGCCATGTGCCACCACATCCAGCTAATTTTTGTATTTTTAGTAGAGACGGGGTTTCACCATGTTGGTCAGGCTGGTCTCGAACTCCTGAACTCATGATCCGCCCGCCTCGGCCTCCCAAAGTGCTGGGATTATAGGCGTGAGCCACTGCACCCGGCAATTTTTGTATTTTTAATAGAGATGGGGTTTCACCACGTTGGCCAGGCTAGTCTCAAACTCCTGACCTCAGGTGATCTGCCCACCTTGGCCTCCCAAAGTGCTAGGATTAGAGGCGTGAGCCACCACGCCCAACGCCTCTTTCCAATATGTATTCCAGTTCCTCTAATTTTCTGCCCCCGTTTCTCCTGACCAGTGAATGCCTTCACTTCCATGCATCCCGCCCCAGTTCTTGGGTGCCCAGGGAGGGAACAATGGGGTGGCTAGACAACCAAGGGCCCCCGTTCTGGCTCTAAGCCCACATTGAACTGGTTGTCTGGACAACATGTTCCTATTAAGCACCCATCCTTGGCAGTGTTAGGATGGCAGCCCCTGATGCTCGGCTGTCTGAACCCCACCCCCTGGTCTTCCCCACACTAGGGCATGTTTCAGGCGCTAACCGAGATTGGCCAGAAACATGGTCTGGTGGGGTTGTGGCGTGGGGCTCTGGGCGGCCTGCCCCGAGTTATCGTCGGTTCCTCCACCCAGCTGTGCACCTTCTCATCCACCAAGGACCTCCTGAGCCAGTGGGAGGTACTGCCTGGGAAATGGGTGGGTCTGTTTCGGGAAGGGGGAAAGGGGAGGGCAAGCTGCACTGGGCCCTGGAGGGGATGGTGCCCAACATTCCAAGGTGAGGGAGTGGCAGGAGAGCTTGGAGGTCACTGACTCTTTAGACCCTTCCCACAGTTCTCTTGTCACTTCCTCCCAGAAGGGGTACCTGAGCCTTCAGGGTACCCTGGCCTTCCTCCTTCTCAGTGTTTTTGCACTGTTAAAACTGGTGCAGTGGAAGCTCCCCGAGTTACCAGCATCTCTGTCCCCAGGGCAGGGACTGTCCTGTCCTTGGGGTGGAATGGCTGGCGGGTTGACAATGCTCTTCCTCTCTACCCCCTTAGATCTTTCCTCCTCAGAGCTGGAAGTTGGCTCTGGTGGCTGCCATGGTGAGTGGCATTGCAGTGGTCTTAGCCATGGCACCCTTTGATGTGGCCTGCACAAGGCTCTACAACCAGCCCACAGATGCACAGGGCAAGGTAAGGAAGTGCCCTGGGATGCAGGCAGGGAAGCAGGGGTTCGGGGAGGCAGATTGTGGGTGCAGGTGGGATAGCCTGAAATGCAGCCTGTGGAGGAGCTGCCCCTGGTGGGCTCTGACAAACTCCTTCTCTGTGCTCTCCCTCCCTCTCTGACATGCTCTCAGGGCCTCATGTACCGGGGGATACTGGATGCTCTGCTGCAGACAGCTCGGACCGAGGGCATTTTTGGCATGTACAAGGGTATAGGTGCCTCCTACTTCCGCCTCGGCCCCCACACCATCCTCTCCCTCTTCTTCTGGGACCAGCTGCGCTCCCTCTACTACACATACACTAAATAACAGCCTTTCTCCCAGACTCCACCAAATGAGCACTCCTTGGCCATTTGTGCCTCCACCACTATGTCCTGGTGACTACTGATAGGTGACCTTTCATCCATCCATGGGGGACAGCCAACCCCACTCTCCATCTGTTCTCAGGGTTGAATCACTACAAGAGTTTCCCTTCTTTCCTTGGGTGTTGCTTTAAACCTTCCCTACCCATTCCCCGGGTAATTCACACCCCTCTCTCAGGACTGAACCAGTCATCCCAAAGTGTATTTCCTCCCTCTCACCACTGCCACCCTTGAGTCCCTCCTGCTCCCAAGAACAGCTTTAAACTCCTCCCTCCAAAACCAAAGGGAATTGGGAGACCCAATTCCCAGGTGTCTGGGACCCAGGCGTCTTGTTAGATTCAAAGGCACAGAGATTATACTGATGATAAAGCAAGTTTATTCTGAAGAGGGATTGTCTTGTTTATGCACAGGGAAGAAATGAGAGGAAACCCTCTTTTCAACCTCTTTTCCCCCTCACAGAACCGAGTCCCCAAGTTCTCAGCAACATCATGCAGTGCTTCAGCACCTTTACTGGGGACCAAAGATGTTGGGATCATGAAGGGTCAGACTGGTCACCAGCTGTTCAAAGTCACCCAGGCTCCAGGGTGGAGGTGACAGATTTTCAGGGCCAAGAGATGACCTGTTGTCAGGGCTTGGGGTGGGGAAACAGATGGAGAGAGAACATCATCCAGGCCTGAGGTTTGGAAATTGCCAATTCCAGTTCCAGAGGACCTGGGTATCAGTTACCCCAAACCTCTGGCCCACTCCTGCTTCCTTGGAGGATCCCACCAGTGAGTCTCCCTGTTCTGTCCCTCCCAGCCCGATTCTCCTGGGAACCCAGTCATGAGATACCCGCCCGTTCCTTCCTCCTTACGGGGGCTGATTGAAGGTGAGCAAGAGATCAGTCTGGTACTGGGGCAGCCTCAGCAAGGCCTGATGAAGTGTCACATCCTTTGCTACCTAAGGGGATCAGAGTCAGGATGCTTACCTGGATCTCTGCGCCCCCGCTACCGCCCTTCCAGGACATTGCACACTCTCGGGCCCTCACCTGCTGGTTTTCCTTAGCTATCTGCTGCTTGCCAGAGAGGACCCAGGCTTCTTGACAGCAGCCCCTCAGGGCCAGGTTCTCCAAACTGAGAGGCTGAACAGACTCCACATGGACAGCCCTAGCCCCCTGCACGCCACCAACATCCTCAAAGTGGTACCTGGAGTAGGGAAGCGGGGTCAGGAAGGGACATCTCTGGCCGCCTCCCTGGGAGCATCTTTAAGTTGCACGCCTGGCTCCCGGCCCCTGCGTGTTCTCACCGCCCAGATTAACCGTCGGCCGCGGGTCCCGCCCACTGCCCCGGCCCCGCCCCTGCCATTGGCCAGCCCGGGGCCCTTCCCTCACCGCGCAGCCGCTTCGCCCTGCACGTGGGCCTGCAGCTCGAGAAGTTCCACGATCAGGCTCTGGTCCGTCACGGGATGGCAGAAAACTTCTTGATTGTCCGGGACCGGTCGGAGGTCGCTGGAGTGAGGCGAGGTAGACCCTGGTTGACCCCGGTCTCTTCCCACAACCCACCCAGTCAGCCGCCCCTGGGCGCCCCGGCCTTCTCACCTTACGTCAATGGCCCCCGTGGGGAGGATGGCGGAAAAGGCGCCCCCGAACAGCGGGCAGTCTCTCATGGGCTCCATGGGCCTGAGGCTGGGTTATGGGCATTAGAAAGGTTTAAAAGAAGCCCACATTGGGTCACGTGGCATCGGCTCCCTGGGTTTCGCAGCTGCCACCGCCACCCGGGTCTAGCTTAGCTCCCGGATCCTTTAAGATTTGGTTCCGCCCCGCGTTATCGCTGGCCAATCGGCGCCAAGGCCCTGGGGGCGGGGGTCAGCGGCGTTGCTCCGGAAGCTGCGCTCTTAGAAGGGCGCCGGGCGGGACGGTGGGGTCTGGCTTGGGGTTAGGGTCTGTGTCGCCCTGGGTGGTCACAAGCATGCTCCCGCCAGCCTCCCCTTGATTGACTGATTGATTGACGGGTCTCGCTCTGTCGCCCAGGCTGGAATGCAGTGGCGCGATCACGGCTCACTGCAGTCTCCACCTCCAGGACTCCAGCGATACTCCTGCCTCAGCCTCCCGAGTGGCTCCTGCTCCCGCCACCACACCCGGCTAAATTTTTAATTATTTGTAGAGACAGGGCGGGGTGGGGGCGTGTCTCCCTATCTTGCCTAAGCTGGTCTCAAACTCCTGGGCTCAAGCGATCCCCCCGCCTCGGCTTCCCTAAGTGCTGGAATTACAGGCGAGAGCCACCGCGCCTGGCCGCCTCCTCCTTTTCAAGTGGTCACACCTTCCAAGAAGGTCGCCTGAGACCCTCCTGCGGGGGGCAGATGCTTGTCCAAAGGGCCCACGTCAAGGTTGTGTCTTTTGAGTCAGGAAAGCATAGGTTCACGGTGTTCTGAGCCTCTGAACCACGAATCGGCTACCACCCAGACCGCTAATTTACAGATCCGATGCTGGGAATTAGGGGAACAATGAGTCCAGCTTAGGATTCAGGTCTCACACCTTCCTGAAAGTGAGACCCAACCTGGGTATTAGAAATCGAATTCCCCTCAAATCTTTGCTTTAGGAATGCTCTTGTGCAGGAGCAACCCCACCCCCAGCTCGGCACACCTGGACAGCAGCACAGATTAAACCCTCTTTTGTTTGTCTTTTACAGATTTGTTGTGTTCTTTAAGTTTTAGCTTGACTGTATCCTTCCAGTTCATTTCTCTATTCATCTTTGATCCCCAGCACCTGGCACAGTGTTTAGAGCATAACAGACCTAATATATATTGTTTTGTTTTGTTTTTGAGATGGAGTTTCGCTCTTGTCGCCCAGGCTGGAGTGCAATGGCATGATGTTGGCTCACTGCAACCTCCGCCTCCTGGGTTCAAGTGATTCTCCTGCCCCAACCTCCTGAGAAGCTGGATTACAGGCATGCACCACCACGCCGAGCTAATTTTGTATTTTTAGTAGAGACGGGGTTTCTCCATGTTGGTTAGGCTAGTCTCGAACTTCCAACCTCAGGTGCTCCACCTGCCTCGGCCTCCCAAAGTGCTGGGATTATTACAGGTGTGAGACACCATGCTCAGCCCAGACCTAATATATATTGTTGAGTGATTGAATAAACTCAGTGCAAATGTCCAGAACCCAGGAGATCACCCATACCCTCATGGATTCTAGATGTCACCTGCTTCCCAGCCAAGAATTGGGCAAGAGGATTCTGATCTTGAGGCCATTCCACAGGGTTCCAAGTGCTGACCATACCTCTGGACGCTAATGATTTAGTGAAATGAAGCCAAATGGTGCACATTTATTGGTCTCTTACCTTGCCAGGCCCTATGTGAAGGGCTGGAGATACATTTAGGACACAGCCCCTGATGCCTCACTGAAGGTGTAAAAGGAACAGTGGAGCACACTTGGAGTCTTTTTTTTTTTTTTTTTTTTTTTTTGAGAGGCGGTCTCACTGTTGCCAAGGCTCGACTGTAGTGGTGGTCAGCCTCAACCTTGTGGGCTCAAGCCATCCTCCTGCCTCAGCCTCCTGAGTAGCTGGGACTACAGGCATGTATCACCATGCTCGGGTAATTTTTGTATTTTTCTTTCTTTTTTTTTTTTTTTTTTAGAAATGGAGTCCCACTGTGTTGCCCAGGCTGATCTCGGACTTCTGGTCTCAAGTGATCCTCCTGCCTTGGCCTCCCAAAGTGATGAGCCACCATGCCTGGCCCACACTTTGAGTCTTAAAGGTTGACCCACAATTCAGTAGGAATCCTAGGGGTATTCTAACCGGGGGAACATCAGGAGCAAAAACTTGGAGATGAGAGGGCATGTTTTGGGGAAAGCAAGTGTATCCGTTTGGCAAGAGAGGGTAGGATGGGAATGGGTGGCAGGGAGCTGCGAACATGGTCAGGTGTGCAGGGTTTTTGTAGCGCACACTAAGGAGCTTGACTCCTCCTTCCTTACTACAGCCATCAGACTCCTCTCTGAGTCTCATTTCATCTTTAAAATGCTGTTGGGGGGCCGGGCGCCGTGGCTCACGCCTGTAATCCCAACACAGTGGGAGGCCAAGGCGGAGCGGATCATGAGATCAGGAGTTCGAGACTAGCCTGGCCAACATGATGAAACCCCATCTCTACTAAAAACACAAAAATTAGCTGAGCGTGGTGGCAGGCGCCTGTAATCCCAGTTACTAGGGAGGCTAAGGCAGGAGAATTGCTTGAGCCCAGGAGGTGGAGGCTGCGGTGAACCAAGATTGTGTCACTGTACTCCAGCCTGGACAACAGGGCAAGACTCCATCTAAAAAATGAAACAAAACGCTGTTAGGAAGAAATGAGATATGGATGTAGTTGAGTCTGACCTATTTCTGGGTAAAGAGAGTGGAATAAGTTTGCTGTATGAGGAATTTGAGAAAGCGGGGACGTTACAGGCTCCAGAGGGAGAGAAGGAGCCCAGCCATGGGAAACCAAAGGAGCCAGGTCAGAGGAGTCCACCCCATGATGCTTCTCTGGGATGAGTGACAGACCTCTCTGTCCCTCCCTCCTGCTTTGTGCCAGCCTACTCTCCAGCCCCGTTCCCCACCAGGGGCATTACTGGCTCTGGCTGCTTTGGGAGCAGTCAAGCAGGTAGAGTCCTTGGAAACGGACCTACAAGGACATAGAAGTTAACAGGGTGCCTGCACCAGGCATAAGGGGGTGTGGAGGCCTATTACATGGGCCCAGAGGAGGTCACGCTAGGTCAGGAAGGCTGAGAAAAAGCCCCCCCAGCTTCCTCATTTTGGGTGTCTGGCATGTCTCATGTTCTGCCATGAGCCCTGTGCAGCTGGGGACCCCCGGCCCTCCACAATTCTGTGGGCTCTTGGGGGGTGCTCAGCCAAACCTTCTCTGGATGAATGGGGTGGAAGGCCACCCTCACTTGGCAAATCTCCACGCTTGGCTCCACTTCCCCTTCTCCCTTCACCTCTTTTTTTTTTTTTTTTTTTTTTTTGTGCCTGTCACTTCTGCTGGCCCTGCCACCTCTCGACTCCCTCAAGTGTTCAAATCCCAACTTCCCAAGGGACAGGATCTAACTGGGTCGATTAGTTGTCATTCAATCCGAAAGTACCTATTTGGCAGGCTCTCCTGCCTGGCCACTCCTCAGGCCACCACCCAAATACAAGAGAGATCTCTGGTCCAGCTGGCTGTGGCTAGGATGATGAGTGTCAGGGGACAAATCTCAGTACAGAGATGGCCAGCAGCCACTTTTCTCAGGAGAATGTGAGGGTGTGGCTGGCTCTCAGTCCACTGGTTGCAAGAAGGCCTGCAACTGATTGATTCCCTACACCTGGGACATTCCCTTATCCAGTGCCCTGCATGCAGTTGATGCAGCTGTTTGCTTTGGGGACAAGAGTCCCAGAGACTCTCCCCTTTAGGGCACCAAGAGATGGACTCAAATCAGAGAGACACCACCACACCCAAAGTCAGGCATCCCGTTGAGAAGAGTTAGGGCAATGAATATTTCTATTAAGCAAGGGTTTTCGTCTTTTTTTCTACTGCAGACTGCTTTGGCAGTTTTGTGAAGCCCATGATCCCCTATTCAATGTAATGTTATTGTTATCGTTATTTTTTCTGTTTTTTTGAGACAGGGTCTTATTCTGTCACCCAGGCTGGAGTGCAGTGGCGCGATAACAGCTCGCTGCAGCCTCAACCTCCTGGACTCAAGCCATCCTCCCACCTTGGCCTCTTAAAGAGATTACAGGCACGGGCCAGGTGCTGTGGCTCACACCTGTAATCCTAGCACTTTGGGAGGCCTAGGTGGGCAGATTGCTTGAGCTCAGGAGTTTGAGACCAGCCTGGACAACAAAGTGAGACTCTGTCTCTATTACAAAAAAAAAAAAAAATTAACCGGGCGTGGTGTCATATGCCTGTAGTGCCAGCTACTTGGGAGGCCAAGGTGGGAGGATGACTTGAGCCTGGGAGGCAGAGGTTGTAATGAGCCAAGATCACACCATTGCACTCCAGCCTGGTTGGCAGAGCCAGACTCTTTCTCAAAAAATAAAGAAAATTAAACCCAGATATTTGATAGAGTACAAGTCTACTTCTTGGTTATCATATTAACTAGATCTAGCAGCAGCCCTAATAAATGTAATAAAAAACTGGTGATGCACACAAATTATGGTTCAAGAGATGCACAGCCATTCTAAAGTGAGCACATCTGTAACCGCTATTGAGGTGAAACCGCAGATACTGCTAATACTACTGTGGTTCGTTACCTAAATTCACAGTGAAAGGAAATGCTAAATTTCAGTTAAAAGGTTACTGAAAACACCCGACACTGTGGGAGGCCCAGGAGGGAGGATTGCTTGAGCCTAGGAGTTCAAGACCAGGCTGGGCAACATGGCAGAACCCCATCTCTACCAAAAAAATACAAAAATTAGCTGGGCATAGTGACTTGCACCTCCCAGCTACTGGGGAGGCTGAGGTGGGAGGATTGATTCAGCTTGGGAGCTTGAGGCTGCAGTGAGTTGACATCATGCCACTGCACTCCAGCCTGGGTGGCAGAGGGAGACCCTATCTCAAAAAAAAAAAAAAAAAAAAAAAAAGTCAGGCGTAGTGGTACATACCTGTGGTATCAGCTACTTGGGAGGCTGAGGTGGGAGGATGGCTTGAGCCGGGAGGTTGAAGCTGCAGTGAGCCGAGATACCACTGCACTCTAGCCTGGGTGACAGAGGGAGACCCTGTCTCAAAATATTATGCATATTGAAAATAAAGATGAGCCAGGCGCAGTGGCTTACGCCTGTAATCCCAGCACTTTGGGAGGCTGAGACAGGCAGATCACGAGGTCGGGAGTTCGAGAACAACATGGTGAAACCCCGTCTCTACTAAAAATACAAAAATTAGCCAGGCGTCGTGGCGCACATCTATAATCCCAGCTACTCAGGACGCTGAGAGGAGAATCACTTGAACCTGGGAGGCCAAGGTTGCAGTGAGCTGAGATCCAGCCTGGGCAACAGAACAAGACTCTGCCTCAAAAAAAAAAAAAAAAAAAAAAAAAGAATGCAGACAGCAATGACAGAAAGAAGGAGTTGGAAGGTTTGGGTTGTAAGTAGGGCAAAGAGGACAGACGGCCTCTGATCTTTGCTGTTAAGTCACAAGATTGGGTACTTTACCCCCATCCCCTAGTTCTCAACAATGACAGAGGCACAACATGGACAGGGGAAGGAGGACTTTCCACATCTACAACCAGTCTATGCAAACCTACCCAAAGGCCAAGGGAGCTAAGAGGCTGAAGAAAGAGACTGAGGCCGGGAATGGTGGCTCACGCCTATAATACGAGCACTTTGGGAGGCCAAGGCGGGCAGATTACCTGAGGTCAGGAGTTCAAGACCAGTCTGGCCAACGTGGTGAAACCCCGTCTCTACTAAAAATACAAAAGTAGCCAGGTGTGGTGGTGTGCGCCTGTAGTCCCAGCTACTCATGAGACAGAAGAATCACTTGAACCCAGGAGGCAGAGGTGGCAGTGAGCTGAGATAGCGCCACTACACTCCAACATGGGTGACAAAGCAAGATTCCATCTCAAAAACAAAAAAACAACAACAAAAAAAAGAGAGACTGATGTATCCAGTTTCTCAGAAAGAAACATTTAATAGTGACTTAGAAACAGAAGCCAGGCGGCCATTAGCCAGTTACCCCCGAGTCCAGGGCTGATATACCTGACGGGAAAGGTATACATGCCTCAGTAGAAATGTGTGGTACCACTGACGACAACACCTCAGGGAAAGGCGGAGAATGCTATGTGAATCTACCTAAGAGCAGGATTGAAGGTCACAGTAGATGAAGTGGCAATCTTAGAGGCATTCCAGAACAGGGGTTAACCAGAGGACAACACGTCGGATCAGCATCCAAGATGGAGCAGCTTCATCCTCCACAACAATCCAGGCCGGGATCTCTGTGTCTAAAACCCAGTGGAGGTGCCCGTTGTTTCTTCCTTTGGAACCTCTTAGAAGGTGCCATCCCTCTTAAGAGTCCATGTAGTCCCAGCCTCCAAAGCACCACATAATTTAACTCTTTTCTTTCTTTTTTTTTTTTTTTCTGAGACAGAGTTTCACTCTTGTTGCTCAGGCTGGAGTGCAATGGCTCCATCTCGGCTCACCGTAACCTCTGCCTCCCGGGTTCAAGTGATTCTCCTGCCTCAACCTTCCTGAGTAGCTGGGATTACAGGCATGCGCCACCACGCCTGGATAATTTCGTGTTTTTAGTAGAGACGGGGTTTCTCCATGTTGGTCAGGCTGGTCTCAAACTCCCGGCCTCAGGTGATCGGCCCGCCTCGGCCTCCCAAAGTGCTGGGATTACAGGCATGAGCCACCGTACCCAGCCTAATTTAGCTCTTTCCATCTGCTCGATTTAGCCAAGGTCATTTCCCTATAACTTTCCACAAGTGAAATGTTTGGGAGTGGAGAGGGCCGTTGTGCTTCGTGGGGAGAGAGGAGTTGTGGTGAACAGGCCTGCTTCCGAATCCCTTCTGCTGCCTTGGATCCACATGGGAAGTCGCTAAACTGGTAAGACTGTTGGGTTAGTCGTGGCCATTCCTTCTCAGCTTCCTCTTTTTCTTTTCTTTTCTTTTTTTTTTTTTGAGACGGAGTCTCGCTCTGTTGCCCAGGCTGGAGTGCAGTGGCGTGATCTTGGCTCCCTGCAAGTTCTGCCTCCCGGGTTCACGCCATTCTCCTGCCTCAGCCTCTGGAGTAGCTGACACTACAGGCGCCCGCCACCTCGCCCAGCTAATTTTTTGTATTTTTAGTAGAGGACGGGGTTTCACCATGTTAGCCAGGATGGTCTCAATTTCCTGACCTCGTGACCCGCCCACCTTGGCCTCCCAAAGTGCTGGGATTACAGGCGTGAGCCACTGCACCCAGCCAGCTTCCTCTTTTTCTGTCAACCCCTTCAATGTTGGGTTACCAGGCCCTGCACACTCCTCCTAGATAACCTTACCCATCCACATTCCAGTGCTTCCCAAATATTCATCTCCATCCCAGATCTCTTCTGACCACCTCCTGGATTCCTCCACCTACATATCTCATTGACATTTCAAACTGAACACATCGTAAGCAAAGCACATCATCTTCCTCCCAGACATGTCCCTATCACAGGTAATGACATTATCTACCCAGTGGTTCAGGCAAGAAGCATGGGCATCGTCACTGGCTCTTCTCTCCCCATCTGTCTTCCCCAACACCCAGTTTGTGGTGATTCATTTTTTTCCCCCCCGAGACAGAGTCTCATTCTGTGGCCCAGGCTGGAGTACAGTGGTGTGATCTCAGCTCACTGCAACCTCTGGCTTCTAGGTTCAAGCAATTCTCCTGCCTCAGACTCCTGAGTAGCTGGGATTACAGGCGCGCACCACCACGCCCAGCTAATTTTTGTATTTTTAGTAGAGACAGGGTTTCACCATATTAGCCAGGCTGGTCTCGAACTCCTGACCTTGCGGTCTGCCTGCCTTGGTCTCCCAAAGTGCTGGGATTACAGGCGTGAGCCACCACGCCCGGCCGTTCATAGTGATTCTATCTCCTAATAGCCCTCAAATCCTTCCACTTCTCACCATCTCCACTGCCACTACCCTAGTCCGGGCTAGCAGTTTCTGCCTGGAGATTGTGTAGCTTTATCCATGGACTCCCATGTCCTCTCCTGCCTCCCTCCTCTCAGAGTGATTCTCAAAAATGCAGACCTCCTCATGTCTATCTGCTGTATAAACCCCTCCAAATGGTTTCCATTGCTCTTAGAATCGAGTCCAGATTCCTGTTCTGTTAGGCCTTTGATTTTGCCTGTCCTGTTTCCCAGTTATATTATATTTGATGTTCCAGACAGACTCACTCACCTTTGTTTAGCTCTTTACAATATCTCCCGCCTCTGAGGCTTTGCAAATGTTGTTTTTCTAGAGTGCCACCCACCTTCATTAACAAACTGCTACTCATCCTTCAGGTCTCAGCTCACTCCGAGAATCCTTCCCTGATCCCAAAAGTCTGGGCCACATCCCCTACTATGAGCTCCACGGTACCCTGAGCTTCCCCTAAAAGCACTGGATTGAAGTCACTTGTTCCAAGTCTATCTCCCTGGTGTGCGCCCCTCAGGAGGAGGCCCTTGACAATGTTGTTCCCTGAGTGACAGTATGGGCAGGGCTGTCTCTCGGAGGTTTGTCTCACTCTGTAGTCGCAGGCTGCCCCTCTAGCCTGACCAGGCAGAGGGAGCTGCACAAATCTTTCTGCTTGGGGGAGGATGGCCCAGTGCTGCAGGCACTCCTAGTGGACTGCTCACACTGAAAGGTTTGCTGAAGCCTCACAAGACGCCAAGACCCAGGCTCCACCGCATCAGGTCTCCGGTCTCTACCATCTGGCTGTTTGCTGCTCCCAAGTGTCCAATGACAGAAGATTTATTTGGTTTCCACCACCACAGGGTCTTACATACAGCAGGTGCTGGGAGCACGATGCTAGCCAGGCCCCAGGATACTGACCACCCAGCTGCTGTGGGAGACATTCCTTCACCAGGCTCACCACTGACTGACGCCCATCCCCCTTCTTTCCAGTCTTTCTCCATTATCTATGTTCCAGTTTGAGCAGTGTCCCAGACACACTTCAGAACGAAGTTCCTTGGTGGGCTGGCCTGTTGGAGAGCAGAGGGTGCCCTGGCGGGGAGCCTCTCTAAAACAGATGGCCCCCACCAGGTGATCCCATCTGGATGCTCTCACCCACACTGCTTCTTTGTGCTTAGCCCCTGCCTGCTGCCTCCCCGGCCAGTAGTGCTCCTTTCAGCAACTGAGGATGACGTAATGTGTGCTTAGTTCAGTGTTGTGTCTTTTTCTGTGCAACGGAAGGGCCTTGTTGGCAGCCAGGCAGATGTTAAACTAATTAAGAAAAGAGGCCGGAAGCGGTGGCTGTAATCCCAGCTACTCAGGAGTCTGAGGCAGGAGAATTGCTTGAACCTAGAAGCCAGAGGTCTGTAATTTCAGCACTTTGGGAGGCTGAGGCGGGCAGATCACGAGGTCAACAAATCAAGACCATCCTGGCCAACATGGTGAAACCCCATCTCCACTAAAAATACAAAAACTAGCTGAGCGTGGTGGTGCCTGCCTGTAGTGCCAGTTACTTGGGAGGCTGAGGCAGGAGAATCGCTTGAACCTGAGGGACAGAGGTTGCCATGCGCCAAGATCACGCTATTGCACTCCAACCTGGGCAGCTGAGCAAGACTCCATCTTGGGAAAAAAAGAAAGAAAGAAAAGAGACTTACTGGTTCTCCCTGTCTTTCCACTTACACAGGGCCAGTCTCCTTGACCTGATAACAGGAACTCGTGACTTTAACTGGACAAATGAGGTAAAAAGGGGAAATGCTTGAGAAGTACAAAGTCCAACCACCCATGAACCCAATCCACTAATTCACTCTTGTATTAAGGGAAAAAAAAATATGTCAATATTTACTAATTTTAACATTCACATGTTCAATTGTTCAGCATATATTTATTGAGTACCTACTAGGTGCGGGGCACTGTGTAGATATTAGGACATGGTGGGGAGCAAAAATGTGTCTCCTGATATCATGGAACTTACACACTAATAGGGAGACAGATCTTTGATCAAATAAACAGCTTAGGCTGGGCACAGTGGCTCATGCCCATAATCCCAGCACTTTGGGAGGCTGAGGCGGGCAGATCACGAGGTCAGGAGTTTGAGACCAGCCTGGTTAACATGGCGAAACCCCGTCTCTACTGAAAATATAAAAATTATCGTGCCATTGTACTTCCACCTGGGCGACAGTGAGACTCCCTCTCAAAAATAAAATAAAATAAATAAAATAAAATAAATAAAAATCTAAAAATTAGCCAGGCATAGTGGCAGGCGCCTGTTGTCCCAGCTACTCGGGAGGCTGAGGCAGGAGAATCACTTGAACCTGGGAGGTGGAGGTTGTGGTGAACTGGGATTGTGCTACTGCACTCCAGCCTGGGCAACAGAGCGTGACTCCATCTCTAAATAAATAAATAAATGAAAACAGTTCACAGTTCATTCATTGCAATGGTGAAAAATAAAGTACACAGAGACTTGGGCTGAGAAAGGAGGTATGTGGTGCTACTGAAATAACCTCTCACAAAGGATTTGAGCAGCGCTATTGACCCAGCTGAAACCCAAAGGAAGGACTTGTTCACTAGGTGTGTACATTGCTGTAAATGGTTTTGCTTTTAGACCTCAGGTTTAGAGAACTAAGGTCATCATAACCCTCGGTTCATGGCACATTATATCATTGAAGGCCCACTTGGGCACTTTCTTATTAACCTTTCATCTCCATTTTTCCTTCCCATTCCCTGTTTCCCCATAGGTGGTTAATGATGAACTTATGAGAGAACCTGTTCTGTCTGGCTTTCTCAGAGGAAGCAGGTAGGTTGGGAGTTTGCCAAATGGGTATGATGAAAAGGTCATAGCTCAAGTGAAGGGGCTTTGGAAAGGCTGTTACTGGAAGCTGGATAAGGAGGGAAGAAAGAAATGGAGCAATGGATTAGGGTAAAGTAATTATTGCATTGGAGGTCCTAATTACTTTGAAATCTCAGAGTATTGTAGATAAAGAAGCAAGATGGAAGGAAAGGGCCGGGCACGGTGGCTCATGCCTGTCATCCCAGCACTTTGGGAGGCCAAGGTGGGTAGATCACTTGAAGTCAGGAGTTTGAGACCAGCCTGGACAACACGGCGAAACCCCATCTCTACTAAAAATATAAAACTTAGCCGGGCGTGGTGGCGCATGCCTGTAATCCCAGCTACTCGGGAGGCTGAGGCAGGAGAATCCCTTGAACCCTGGAGGTGGAGGTTGCAGTGAGCCGAGATCGCACCACTGCCCTCCAGTCTGGGCGACAGAGTGAGACTCCATCTCAAAAAGAAAAAAAAAAGATGGAAGGAAACAGGACGCCTGAATAAATAAGTTTGGAGATAGAGCCTCATGGTCAGAAACAGGACGCCTCCATAAATAAGTCTGGAGACAGAGACAGTCCTGGGTGATGATAAAATCCAAGTGGGGTAGTTGGCTGAGGTGGAATGAAGATCACTGTAGAAAAGTTCAGAGTGTTGGATGGTCACCAACATGGATACAGGGTAACAGAAGGGGCTGAGGTGAAGCATAGGACAGGGACCCAGGGCCTAATACCCTTAAAGAATGAGAGGGAGTTAGGAGTGGTTGAATAGGGTAAGGTTTAGCTACAACGGATGGAAAACACCAAAATTAATAGTGCTTAAACAAGACAGGCTGGGCACTTTGGCTTACACCTGTAATCCTACGCCTATAATCCCAGCACTGTGGGAGCCCGAGGCAGGCAGATAACTTCAGGTCAGGAGTTCGAGACCAGCCTGGCCAACCTGGCGAAACCCCGTCTCTACTAAAACTACAAAAATTAGCTGGGCGTGATGGCACGTGCCTGTAATCCCAGCTATTCAGACGGCTGAGGTGGGAGGATCGCTTAAACCCAGGAGGCGGAGGTTGCAGTGAGCCGAGATCACACCCCTGTACTCCAGTACTCCAGCCCGGGAGTCAGAGTGAGACTCTGTCACAATTAAAAAACAAAAACAAAAACCAAGACAGAAGTTCATTTCCTACACTCAAGACATTCAGTGTTAGGTTGTCCTCGTGGCACTCCTCAGTGTCAGAACCAGTCTCCTTTGATGTTTTTTTTTCTTTTTTAGAGACAGGGTCTGGCTCTGTTGCCCAGGCTGGAGTGCAGTGGTATGATCACAGTTCACTGCAGCCTCAACCACCTGGGCTCAAGTGATCCTCCCACTTTAGCCTCCCAAGTAGCTTCCTCTTATCTTGTTGCTCTGCGTGGTACCAATTCCCAAAGCTACTTCAGTATGGCTGCTGAACTTCCAGCTGTCGTGCCTGCATTCCAGACAATAGGAAGCAAAAATGCATAACGAGAAAAATGCATCCTTCTTGTAAGAACACTTGGAAATTGTATACATCATTTTCTCTCCCACTGGCCACAATTTATCGTAACTGGGAGGGAAGCTGGGAGATGTCATCTTTACTTTCAGCAGCCACAACCCCAGCTAAAATACTGGAACATTCTGGTTTTTTTTTTTTTTTTTTTAGACAGAGTCTCGCTCTATCGCCCAGGCTGGAGTGCAGTGGCGCGATCTCAGCTCACTGCAAGCTCCACCACTGGGGTTCACGCCATTCTCCTGCCTCAGCCTCCCGAGTGGCTGGGACTACAGGAGCCCGCCACCACGCCCGGCTAATTATTTTTGTACTTTCAGTAGAGACGGGGTTTCACCATGTTAGCCAGGATGGTCTCGATCTCCTGACCTCATGATCTGCCGGCCTCGGCCTCCCAAAGTGTTGGGATTACAGGCGTGAGCCACCGTGCCTGGCCCTGGAACATTCTCCCTCCCTCCCTTCTTTTCTTTTTTTGAGAGGGACTCTGTTTGCCCAGGGTGAAGTGCAGTGGCGTGATCTCGGCTCACTGCAAACTCCGCCTCCTGGGTTCAAGTGATTCTCCTGCCTCAGCCTCCCAAGTAGCTGGGATTATGGGGGCATACCACCACACCCAGCTAATTTTTGTATTTTTAGTAGAGACAGGGTTTCACTATGTTGGCCAGGTTGGTCTCAAACTCAGGTGATCCACCAGCCTTGGCTTCCCAAAGTGTTGGAATTACAGGCATGAGCCACCGAACCTGGCAGCAACATTCTGTTTCTAGAGAGGAATCAATTATTGAAGAATTGGCACCTTCTCCCACAGGGAGCGCCAGAGAAGTCAGAATTGGGCGAAAGGGATGTAGTAGAATGGCATGAGCCTGCAATGGGCAGGGTTTGCTTTGAACTGGGTGAACAGTCTGGCAGTGGTACGAGGACCCTGACTCCCTAGCCTGGGGAAGATGAGATACGTGAGGTTGAGGTTTGAGAAGAAAAGTCGCCACTTGGAGGGGCTGCAGAAGTGGCTCTCAGAGGATAGCTGGTTTTCCATGAAGGCAAGGAGGGGGCAGAGCGCTAGCCTGGAGGGTTCACCAGAGGGCCCTGGGGAGTGGGTGGGTGGGAATGGAGCTGGGTGGGGGTCATCAAGGACAGGATTATATGGCTCCTGGATGAAAACACGGATGAAAAGCCAGTGGACTTGGTCTTGACAGTGTCTGAGGAGGGTGGGTCTTACTTGGCCACTGGGACCCAAACCAGAAACTGCTCCCCCTTCAAAATCCACGAGTTTACCTATCACAGCCAACCAGGAGGTTACCTCGCATGTCATCCTTTGACTTTTGCATCAAGCCCTTAATAAACCTGGTATCTAAGCCTTGGTACCAGCCCCCAAATTGTACGTTTGATACTATAAATCTGAAAGACATACATACGTCCTTTCCAAGTGTCAGGAAAGAACATTCAAATGTCAAAAATGATCCGGACCCTCACTCTCCTTTTGCTGCCTGACCGCCGCCATCATGGGTTGCATGCATGCTCCCAGGAAGGGCCTGTCCCAGTCGGCTTTGCCCTATCGACGCAGCGTCCCCACTTGGTTGAAGTTGACATCTGATGACGTGAAGGAGCAGATTTACAAACTGACCAAGAAGGGCCTGGCTCCTTCACAAATCGGTGTGATCCTGAGAGAGTCACATGGTGTTGCACAAGTACGCTTTGTGACAGGCAATAAAATCTTAAGAATTCTTAAGTCTAAGAGACTTGCTCCTGATCTTCCTGAAGATCTCTACCATTTAATTAAGAAAGGAGTTGCTGTTCGAAAGCATCTTCAGAGGAACAGAAAGGATAAGGATGCTAAATTCCATCTGATTCTGATAGCCGGATTCACCGTTTGGCTTGATATTATAAGACCAAGCGAGTCCTCCCTCCCAATTGGAAATATGAATCATCTACAGCCTCTGCCCTGGTCGCATAAATTTGTCTGTGTACTCAAGCAATAAAATGATTAATTAAAAAAAAAAATGATCCGGAGAAGTCCCATACTGCTCAGGGTAGGTCACTTCGCAAAGCAATGAGGAAAATCTCTGAAACAGCTGTTTTCCCCATAGCCATCATTTACCATTGTTTCATTATTATCAGTTTCTTCTTAGGTGGCTGCTCTACCAGGAGCACACAGAAGTGCTCAGCCTCCCCACCCGAGCTCTCCTAGCCCTCATGCCCTCAGGGGTCTGGGATTATAGTCTCCATTCTCAGGGAAACTCCTTTTATCAAGATGTTGAACATTCTAGGGAGCCAACTGACTTGAGGTGTACAACACAACAGTCACAAGGAATGGAACTCTATCCACAGTCCTGTGAGCAAAGGAAGCAATGGACAGCAAAGGAAGCAAAGACAGCTGCCAGCAGGAAGTCTCGACACACTGCCTCCAGGAAGTGAGACTGCAGGATGGTGGGAAGCAGATGTAGTCCTGGTGAGCCCAGCCCCCTTCACTATGTGTGGACTCCAAGCAATGCAGTCAACCTTCATTCATCCTTCATTAAAAAGGCGGGGAGGGGCTATCAAGTACTTTAGTAAGAATTAATTCAGATACATACAAAATGCCTCACACATGCGTGGATTGAGGTGTTATACACAGCAATTGTTTTTAATTCTATTACACACAAACTCCCTGAGGCCAGTGACAGTGCTTTGAAATAATAACTAATCAACAATAGTTAACGGAATAAGTGAAGAGTAGAATTCCAGCATACTAAAGGGTTAGGATCTAGGGATGAGAGCGCCAACCACATCTATCAGAAAGAGAGCTGCTGAGCCACGTACAGGATTGCAGGCTCCCACCTGTAATCCCAGCACTTTGGGAGGCCGAGGCAGGTGGATCACTTGAGGTTAGGAGTTTGAGATCAGCCTGGGAGACATGGTGAAACCCTGTCTCTACTAAAAATACAAAAATTATCTGGGTGTGGTGGTGGGCACCTGTACTCCCAGCTACTTGGGAGGCTGAGGCAGGAAAATCGCTTGAACCCGGGAGGCAGAGGTTGCAGTGAGCCGAGATCACACCACTGTACTCCAGCCTGGGTGACAGAGTGAGACTGTCTCAAAAAATAAAATAAAATGAGCTGCTAATTTAGAAGCAAATATCAGGAATGCTGGGTTCTGAGGCCAGCCCTGAGACAGCCAGAAACACTGAGAAACTTCCACAAGCAACAATTCCTTCCATTCAGTACAGTGTAGCACAAGAGAAATCCAGAAAGTTTCAGTTCCATATGAGAACAATGAGGTGGTGAGGGGCTGATCTGCACACTACTGCTGAATTTGTTTGCACCCCCTAAACTCCAATAATGAGAAAAGGGAGCGCAAAACATCCCTCAGAGCCGAGGAGGCCAATGCATGCCAGTGATCGCTGGGTGTTGTGAAGTGGGCAACAGACCCCTGCTCCGACCTCAGGAGTCCTAACTTCTCCTTGTCACTCTTTTCTCTGAACCACAAGCTGTTTCCTGGGCTGAGAAAGGGAATGCCATGTTAGAGCAGAACCGAAAATAGACACAGCCGCGGAAGGAACATCAGCAGGCAGATCATTGAGTCTGCTGAGATTTTGTATTTTGGTCCTTGTCTGTCCAAGATGCTTTTGGAAATAACATGGGGTGCTCCTGAAAGTCATGGGGGAGAGGGCAGCACGCACACACGGAAAAAACCATGGGACCTAGGTGAGCCCCTGTGGCCAGTCAACAGCTCCCTTCCAGGGTCCAGTTTCGGGCATTGATAAAGAGCTGGAGCCAGGGGGAGGTGGTCAGAGTATCAAATGGAGGGGGTCGCCATGCCCACTGCCAAGGCCTCACGGCCCGCTCAGGGTGAGGCATGAGAGCCAGGTGGCGGCCATCACGGGAGCAGATGCCAGCCACGCCCCCTGGGGACCCATTGGGATTCAGAGGGTACTGCTCTGTGGGGTTCCCGTCATCATCTGCCCAGTGCAGTGGAGCCAAGCCCCTGGCCTCAATCTGAGCTTGGAGTTCCGGAGAAGAAAATGCCACGTAGCCTGGGACGGAAGGAGGAGGGAAGTGAGAGTCAAGGTCCTTCACGCCCACCCTCGCCCCCGACCCTCCGGCCCTCCCCCAGCCTTCCTCAGGCCTGACCTTCCCCGTGTGCGCTCCACACGGGCAGCACGGCGCCCTCCATCCCTCGCAGCATCAGGGCTGGCCCGGGCCCCACACGCACGCTGGCCCAGCGAGACTCATAGCGCCCAGACAGGTTATGGCGCAGCAGAAGGCCTGGCTGGGAGTCAGGGCCCATCTCCACGGCATCCTCATTGGGGTCGCCTCCTACCCAGCCCAGCAGAGCCAGCAGTTGACAGCCATTACACACGCCCAGGCTGAAGGTGTCTGGTCGCTTCCGGAAGCGCCTCAGCTCACCCCCGGCCAGGGGATGAAAGGTCACGGCAGCTGCCCACCCTAGCCAGGGAAGAGGGAAATCAGGGTGAGACGTGGAGGACCTCAGAAAAGGGAACTGGGAATGAAGGGGCATAGCTGCTCTTCTGTTTCTTACCTTTCTTCCTTTTCCCTCCCTCCCTCCTTCCTTCCTTTCCTTCTTCTTTTTTTTTTTTTTTGAGATGGAATCTCGCTGTTTCCCAGGCTGGAGTGCAGTGGCATGATCTCAGTTCACTACAACCTCTGCCTCCTGGGTTAAAGCGATTTTCCTGCCTCAGCCTCCTGAGTAGCTTTTTAATGAAAAAATTAAAAATGTACTACCAGCATTCTGTTGGCATGTGGCCCGGAACGAACGTGCCCACTGTCTCCTAGCTTGGTGGAGTGAGAGGCCAATCCCCAGCCCAGGAAGACGGGGCTAAAGGTACCTCTTCAGGAATGTAGGGGAACGGAGTGGGCAGAAGGCTGCACACTGACCTTTGGCAGAGCCCAGGACATCTGCATAGCTGAAGCCGCCCACGAAGGCCACGCCGCGGAAAGTGTCCAGCCCAATTGCCCCAGAGCAGAGGTCCTGCATGGTCACGTCCCATACCTGCGAAGATGGGGAGGGGGAGTGTGGGTGGGAGGACATGCAGCTGAGGCTGGATAACCACCCGCAGCTGCCCCCTACCCTGCTCACCTCAAACCCAGCCAAGTGGAAGGCATCGGCCATCTCCCGGTCTCCATTACTGCCCTCCTCTCGCAAGATGGCGACTCGGGGGCTGGGACCACCTTGGGGAAGAATAATTGTCTTTGGGCCAGAAAGTTACTTCCCCACCCCAACTCCCCAGACACCTTTTCCAGGGCAGGCCCAGGCATCCGGGCGCAGCGCCCCCAGGACGTGAAGCCTCTGCACACACTCCCTTACCAGGCTCACGGGGCACGGAGGCTTTGGGAAAGGTGGGGGGCAGGCAATAGCTGGGCCCCATCCGCTCCCTCAGGCCCCGTTCCTCCTCTGCCACACAGCGAGGCTCTGCCTGCAGCCGGTCCAGCTGGAAACTCGTCTCCTCCCAGAGGGCTCGCAGCTCCCCAACAGGCTCCTCCAGAACCACAGCCCCGTTCACTGACACCCGGACCTAGGAAGAGGAACAAATCTCCCTGGGCTAGGAGAAAGGATGGCCCCTCCACAGTGGGAGAGGGATGGACCATGGCCGCCCCACTCTGACTGCCCACTGCACACTGCTCTCTCCCTCACTTCCTCACCGTGGCGTGGGGCCCGGCCTCGCCTGTGTGGCCCAGCTCCAGGCAGTGGAGGCCAGCATCCCAGTAACGCTTCAGCACCTGGGCCAGATCTGGCTCCTGTACCTCCAGCACCAGGCCTGGCTCCTCAGCGAACAGCACAGACAGGACTGGGAGAGCAACAGGGGGAGTCAGGGAGATGCAAGAAGGGCTGAGGAAGTTGGGGTGGGGATCAGGGGAATGCAGGAAGGGCCGGGGCGGGGGTCAGAGGGACGCAGCCAGGGAGTTAGGGTGGGGATCAGGGAGGATGAGGGCTGGGAGGGCGGGACTGAGGATGTTTCATCACGGACATCTCAGGGATGGGAAGTCTCAGAGAGATGCAGGAACATGGCGGGTGCCAGCCAGTTCCATCCAGTTCAGCTGTCAGAGACACAGCACAGAAAAGCTAGTCGGGGAAGACTCAGGGAAAGGGGATTGGAGGGCACTCCACTCTTTAATATATTGGAGATGGGGTCTGCAGGGTGGAGAAGGCAGCCCAGGCCTGAGACTAGACCCCAGGTTCCTTACCATCAACCCCAGCGACAGGCACATCCACCTGTAGCCCACAATTTCCAGCAAAGGCCATCTCCAGCAGGCATGTGACGAGGCCTCCATCGCTGACATCGTGGCCTGAGCAGAGGAGGCGGTCTGGAGGAAGAAGAAGAAAGCTCAGCAACCTCGGGGCCCAAACCTGACAGCCCCCCTCCACCTTCCAGAGTCAGTCCATCAAGAGTGTGTGAGAATGTCGGGGGATCTGAGGTACACTGTCCATTGGAGTCCCTCTTGCCCCACTGCCCGGCTGGCGAACGCCTGCTGCATGCCTGGCACCCCGTGCACCATCTCCCCAGGGGGCTTCACTTACCTTTCAGCAGCCCCTGGGTGATGCTGAAGGCACGCACCAAGTTCTCAGGAACGTCCAGGTCTGGAGGGTGCTCCCCGAGCTGGGAGAAGCACTGGGCCAGAGCCGTGCCCCCCAGCCGGTGCTGCCCAGGGCTCAAAGGCACATAAAGCAGATGGCCTGGGGAGACAGGGAGGGGTGAGGGGAGGAGGATCCGTCCCTGAGGTGGAGGACCCGTCCCTGAGGTGCTCACAGCACTGCTGTTTCCAGCATGTGGTGAGACGCCCAGACAATCAGTCCCAGAAAACACCACAGCCCAGTGTTGAGATGGGGGCCCGGCACTCAAAGCAGGGGCCAAGCAAAGAACACACAAGGCGATGGGATGGGCCACGACCATACCTCTCCCTTCAGGATGCTTGAGGTCTGGGGTCACGGTGGCTGTGATGTCTGGGCAGACGGCATAGGCTGAGATGACCAGTGACCCTGTAGAGCAAGGAGGAGTCCAAAGG